TTTATTAAATTTATTAAATTTATTAAATTTATTTAATTTATTAATTAAATATGCCTACCACCATTATTTCCGACCAAAAATTAGTCAATTACATACTTTTAAATTGTTTTAATTAATAAAGTATTCTAAATAAATGTGAATTTGGCTCAGAAATCAATATAATAATAAGTTATGAAAATGAACGTCTCTGTTTTTATAAACAAGCATTCGTCAAAAAATGAAATAAAATTTATAAAGTGTTACTTTTTACCACACTGTCTAATATACACAAAATTCAGTTTTTTAGTATTTGGAGCAATTATTATTAATCAATGTAAACAGTCAATTAATGTAATTTGAATACTGGGATCATATTAATTGGTCCTTTTTAACAAACAATATTTAAACAGTTTTTTTTAATTTTTTAATGAAATAAGCGAACTATATCGACAATAGTAGTATCTGTATTCTTTGAAAATTTGTTACATCTTTAAAAATAATCTAAAATGTCAATATTTCATGGGTATAGTGATAAATGAGGTCTAAATTATAAGAGAATGCATTTTCTACGAAAACTTGAAGAAATGGGTAAAAAATGGTATAATACAATGTGATAGACAATTACATTGTGCATCTGATTCACGTAAAATATATAGGGTATTCTATTTAAATTAAACAAGTTATTGCCGTTTAAAGCTAGTAATTATTTAATATACATTTTTGGACACTCTGTATAAGGTAGTAAAATTTTTATTATTGCAACACAATATCTGATCAATAAATAATCTCCAATAAATATTTAGTATTAAAAACTTTTATACCCTTGGAGAAATGAAGCCCTAAAACTTTTACTGAAATTTCATAAAATTGAAAATATTTCAAAAACGGTAAGGTCTAAGTGTGATAAACTTTAATCAAATTTACCTTTATTTCCATCGTAGAATCTAAAAATAGAATAATATACAGGGTGTTCCATTTAAAAAACTACAACTATAATATTTTTAACTTATTTGGGACACTCTGTACCTTGTAAAAATATTTTTAAATTGTAGCTCTAATAGTCCTTCAAGGAACCCAGAACTTACAGTTTGTAAAGATCTAATCGTTTAGCTACAATACTCCGTGTCGTATGTGGTGAACAATCCTGTATATTATATTTTGAGGTATATTTTTAATATTGCAAAATCCAAAATTGGGTTTTAATTAGCTTTTCATGAAATTTAGTAAAAACTTCAAAAATAAAACTTATCTAGATACTATGGAATGCTCTTTTTACAATTTTGCAAAAAGATTTGAACTTTCTATGTAGACTTTTATAGATATACCTAGGTGGGGGTTAATAATTAATTTTAATTTTATGTTTCAGTTACACAACTCTACACAAAATGCTGTAGTTTTGTCTTCGCTGCAGCTGTCCTCCACTGGATTGTATCGATGCGAAGTCTCCGGAGAAGCACCTTATTTTGAAACTGTCACCGATAGCGCATATATGACAGTCGTCGGTAAGTGTGTATGCCCTTATGGAATTCTATTATACCCCTTTAAAATGTAGCTAACCCTAAAATTTTTATAATGTAAAAGATATATAAATATTTTACATAATTTTGAATATCTATACTATAATATATAAAATCTTTAAGTGACTGACATACGATTAATCACGATCCTGCTCAAACCACTCAACGTAAGAAGCTCAATTTTGGTATTCAGGTCGATTCTAGGGTGTAGAGGTTCGATAAGAAGGGATTTTTCGAAATTCCAGTTCCAAGAGGGTGGAACCACCCCTCAAATATTACAATATTTTTTATTTAAAAAATGGTCAAGTTTCCGAAAAAAACGCTTAAACACGTATATTTTATTTTGTTTTCTTACATATTTTAAGATTTTTTAAAAATATATACAGGGTATTTCGAAAAATCTGGTCATTGATTAAGCACGATCCTGCTTAAAGCGCTTGACGTAAAAAGCTGATTTTTGGAAAACAGATTGACTTTAGGGTGTAGAGGTTCGATAAGAAGGGATTTTTCGAAACTCGAATTCTAAGGGGGTGAAACTATCCCTCAAATATTAAAATATTTTTTTATTTAAAAACCGGTGAGTTTTTTGGAAAAACTCTTAAACACGTATATTTTATTTTGTTGTTTTACATATTTTAAGATTTTTTATAAACTTATACAAGGTGTTTTATAAAATATGACCATTGAGTAATCACGATTCTGCTTAAACTGCTTGACGTTTAAAGCTGATTTTTGGCAAATGGATTGACTGTGGAGTGTAGAGGTTCGATAACGAGGAGTTTCTCGAATCTCAAATTCCAAGAGGGTGAAAACGCCCCTTAAATATTACAATATTTGTTATTTAAAAAACGGTTAGTCTTTCGGAAAAACGCTTGGACAAGCATAATTTATTTGTTTTTTTTTACATATTTTGAAATTTTTCAAAAAATCATACGGGGTGTTCCAAAAAGTTGGGTAATTTCTTAACCACGATTCTGCTTAAACTGCTTGACGTAAAAAGCTTATTTTTGGCAAACAGATTTTTCGAAAGTCAAATTCCAACGAGATGAAACTACCCCTCAAATATTAAAAAGTTATATAATAATATCGCCATATTGTTTTTTCTCATGCTGACATAAATGTGAGAAAATTTTATCCAGTTTGTATGTTAATGGAAATTCTTGCTTTGTTTTATAATCACCATTACAAATGATTAATTCGACGCGAACGGAGTCGCTGGTACACGCTAGTATTTTATATAATTTTGAATATATTTTCTGTATTTGCTAATGACGCCATTAATTTACCAAATTATTAATTATATTTTATAAATAATGTTGCGGACCCGTGTGGACCCGACCTAACCTAACTATATGTCCCGCCCTCAGATGACCTTAACATTGCATTAAAGAATAGATACCGTAATGATTCATTCGGACGTTCGAGAAAAATCGAGTTCTACTGGAATGGAGTAGTACATACGAGAACAATCCAAACCTTCTCTATGCACCTAACGATCTATGGACTATTCTAGAAATCTTTAGCTGTGGGTATAAAAGCCGGCGGCTGGGGCCTAGATAGGGCAGACATAAATAGACGAGTACAGTTGACGCGCTAAAATTCAAAATAAATTCTTTCTAGATAAATCGTTATAAATCGTTTGTAAATAGTTCTTTAAATCTTTTATCGTTATTGTTTTTGTTAATTAGTGTTAAATAAATTGTGTTTAAATAAATTGTGACTTTCTATCCACACGGAACCGACGAAAAACGTAACAATAATATAAAATTATTTTCTATACCTATTGAAAGTAGCGAAATAAAATAAAATTTAAATTATGAATTTTAATCAAATTTCAAATGGAAGAATATTTCTGTTGTGTTGGACTGCCATTGAGGGGTCTTTAGTTTTACTTCAACTATACAAGGTGTCCCAGATATAAGTGCAAGTATTTTAAGGTGTGGTAGATCCGGGCCAAAAGAAACATATTTTGTCTTTACCATTTTTAAAATAAACTGAAAATAACCGAGTTCCCGGTTTCTTAAGAGTCTATTACGCTGTACTGTTCGGTTCGCTCTTCATAAAGTGGGTGTGTGGCCGAAGGAAATATATATTACTAGTGTGTACCCGCGACTTCGTTCGCGTCGGATTAATCATTTGTAATGGTGATGATCAAGCAAAGCAAGAATTTCCATTAACATACAAACTAAGATAAAATTTTCTTACATTTATGTCAGCATGAGAAAAAACAATATGGCGATATTATTATATAACTTGGTATAATATTTGAGGGGTAGTTTCATCTCGTTGGAATTTGACTTTCGAAAAATCCGTTTGCTAAAAATAAAGCTTTTTACGTCAAGCAGTTTAAGCAGAATCGTGATTAATCAATTACCCAACTTTTGGAACACCCTGTATGATTTTTAAAAATTTCAAAATATGTAAAAAACAAAATCAATTATGCGTGTCCAAGTGTTTTCCCGAAAGGCTCGCCGTATTTAAATAACATATATTGTAATATTTGTGGGTCGTTTTCATCCGCTTGGAATTTGAAATTCGAAAAACCCCTCCTTATCGAACCTCTACACCCCACAGTAAATCCGTTTGCCAAAAATCAGCTTTAAAAGTCAAACAGTTTAAGTAGAATCGTGATTACTCAATGGTTATATTTTATGAAACACCCTGTATAAATTTTTAAAAAATCTTAAAATATGTAAAACAACGAAATAAAATATACATGTTTAAGAATTTTTCCGAAAAACTCACCGGTTTTTAAATAAAAAATATTCTAATATTTGAGGGGTGGTTTCACACCCTCAGAATTCGAGTTTCGAAAAATCCCTTCTTATCGAACCTCTACACCCTAAAGTCAATCCGTTTTCCAAAAATCAGCTTTTTACGTCAAGCGCTTTAAGCAGAATCGTGATTAATCAATGACCAATTAATCAATTTTTCGAAACACCCTGTATACATTTTTAAAAAATCTTAAAATATGCAAAAAAAGAAAATAAATTATACGTGTTCAAGCGTTTTTCGGAAACTTGACCGTTTTTTTAAATAAAATATTCTAATATTTGAGGGGCGGTTTCACCCCCTTAGAATTCGAGTTTCGAAAAATCCCTTCTTATCGAACCTCTACACCCTAAAGTCAATCCGTTTCCAAAAATCAGCTTTTTTACGTCAAGCGCTTTAAGCAGGATCGTGATTAATCAATGACCAGATTTTTCGAAACACCCTGTATACATTTTAAAAAATCTTAAAATATGTAAAAAAGAAAATAAAATATACGTGTTTAAGCGTTTTTCGGAAACTTGACCGTTTTTAAATAAAAAATATTCTAATATTTGAGGGGCGGTTTCACCCCTTAAATTCGAGTTTCGAAAAATCCTTCTTATCGAACCTCTACACCCTAAAGTCAATCCGTTTCCAAAAATCAGCTTTTACGTCAAGCGCTTTAAGCAGGATCGTGATTAATCAATGACCAGATTTTTCGAAACACCCTGTATACATTTTAAAAATCTTAAAATATGTAAAAAAGAAAATAAAATATACGTGTTTAAGCGTTTTTCGGAAATTTGACCGTTTTTTAAATAAAAAATATTGTAATATTCCACCCCCCTTTTTACCCCCTTAGGGGATGAATTTTTAAAAATCCTTTCTTATCTTACGTAAACATCATAAAAGGAACCCCTGTGCAAAATTTCAGCTTTCTAGGGTCAAGGGTTTGGTCTGGGCGTTGATGAGTCAGTATCAGTCAGGACAGTCAGATTTATATATATAGATATTTCAGAAATCTGCCTAAGGCTTAGCTCGATCCTGTCGTGTTCCACCCCCAAAATTCCAAACACACGTGCTTTGATTAAGGCTTGATTAGGGTTTGCAGAGCTTCAGCATTTGTCATAAAATAGCGAACAATGTGTTACAAAACCATATAAATTATATATCACTGTAATCACAAAACTTCAATCTATTTCCGTATTATAACGGAATTTTAAATTATGTCTTCTGAAAACATAAGAAATATATTGTTGATGTTTGACCATCAAAATCTTAAAAATAAATAAGTTTTCTAAAAATGTGCTACAATAGGGATTAAGTATAATCCTTTATCTTTAATTTCCTTCTTCATTTTGTGTAAAAATACCTAGTCAGTTTTACATAAAACGTTAAATGCCGAACGCTTATTTGCTACTCTTTCGGACTAGTGAAATGGACTCTTAAAATGAAGTCGTATGAGAGATTTTTTCTTACCTCTTTTACAGGGTGTCTGAAATGTGCCATCTTTCGTGGGGAGATTCCTCATGTAAAAATAAGATTTATTTTTCATATCAACATTGGCCCGATTCGGCTTTGTTTTGTAGTTACAGGGTGTTATAGTCTTAATATTCTTTGGATTTATTATAATTTTCTTCCAAGTAATTTTAGCGTTTCGAAAAAAATAAGTGCTTCATATTTAAAAAAAAAAGCTTTATGCTAAAAAAGTGGAGATAAATTCACCAGGGACGTACATATGGGTTATCACTGGAATATTTTTCAAAGAAAACATGTGTGCCACTGATTTTTTGTTTCTTTTGATATCAAAATTGAGTAGGTCGTTTAATGTCAATTAAAAGCTATCTGTTGATATTTTGTCAAATTCGGTCTTCTTGATGAGATAAACGCTATTTTATGAATCACATTTAATAAAATTAATAAATCATATATTTTACATAATTTATTATTAAATATTATTACTATTTGTCCAACCTACAGCAATTTTAAATAAAAAATAATAGTATTTAAGATAATTACAAAAAACCTAATTTTAAAAAATTTTAACATCCTGGAACTTTAAAACTATGCATTTCCATAGCCGTGTTTATAGAAACTTTTTTTCTTATTTTTTGATGAGGAATCAATGAGTACTTATTTATAACTTTCTCAAGTTAATGATATTATTTTTTTTAAGGTTGCTATTAAACTTGAATCAAGGCAAATTAATAAAATTGCGTTTATCTCATCAAGGA